GTTGATGAAAGCATTGGACGGAGGTGAAAGTGATTCTGCCGCATTGTTATTAGGAATTACCGATCGAATATTTTAATCCTCGCATTACATCACGCGTTTACACGGTTCATTCACGATTGCTAAAGCAAAGATTCTAAACTTATTTGCCAAATTGTTATAATCACAATTATATAGATTCAATCTCATCTCACGAATTCCCTTCTCCACTACTTTTATTTTTGCATCCTAATTTAAGATCTCAAGTCACACGATGCTTTTCACAGAGCATGTAGAAATGAAGAAATAATGATAATAAAGCAAATGGGACTTTAAATCTAAATAATACGTTCAAGTATGATAAGGATGGTAAAGAAGTTTAACCTTGGAAGTCCATTTTAGGCAATTATGCTACTATGGCGCGTCAAGTGTATGTTAAATTTGACAATTATGGAAATTAATTGTAGAGAAAAACTTTGAGTTATTAAGAGTTAGAGTTCGAATATTGACATTCACAATATTTAACGCATTAATAATAATTTTTTTTAGAAAAATTATCATAAAAAATACGATTTGTTTTTGATGCTACGATGCACATATCTACTTAAAAAAGACGGATTAATAACTATATTATTTTGGTTTAATAGCATTATATGCTATTTATTATGTGCTAAAAGAAATATTTTTTTTTTTTACATTTAACCACCTAATTCTTTTCAAGTGATCGGTAAGTTACTGCGTAAGACTTAAATGAACTCCTTTTCACTCTGTGAAAATTTTACATTTCCGAAAAGACAAAGCTTTGGACAAAGAGAATTGTCACCCTTTAAATAATATTTATATATGATGAATCAAGATTAAATTAGTATAATACCTAATAATTAATGAGTTAAAACCAGCGAAAAATTTTTGCAAATTTTATTTTAGTAACAAGGAACCTATACACACCAAATTTCTAGTGAGACGAAAAAAAAAACATCTGTCAAATATAATATCTTCAATTGATAAATTCAAAGTATTTACGAAGTTATACGAAAAGTCCGAGTTTATGTTAATAATGCAATATTGTAGAAAAAGAATTGGTTTTAACGGTTAATTCAAAAAAGTTGCATACACGAAAGTGAGAAAGAAGCATTATTAGGAAAACTATCGTATAGGTTTTCGTTTTGTGTTGCGCTTACGACTATAATTCTATCCCTAGATATTTGGAAGGTTGCTAATTAACAATATCTCCTATAATGGTTGTATAAAGTTTCCTCTGTGTCACGTGTGTCACATTTATAAGATGAGGCATCTCTTTCGCAATGGTAAAAGCCTAGATCTTTTATGTAACAACAGGAATTTATATCACGTCTGTAATGGTAATATGGAGATGCTCTGGTGATCCTCTTATAGTATGGAGACGCGTCACGTTCATAAGTCTCTGCGTCATCCTCTTCATTACTAGCTTCCGCTTCAATGTAGACTACGACGACGAATAGGACGCATAGTAAGAGCAACAGATCTATATCCATTTTGAAAAACTTTATTGGTTTATTTCGTCAAACGAAAACTTTATAATGTTTCTTTGTGATGGTGTGAGCCACATAGATATAGTGTTTATTTGTTTACTCTTAGCCAATTCTTTGTGGCTTTCTATACTACGTTGGTTGATAATGTGGGGCTTTAATAAGGTCGATACGCGAGAAAAATGACGATAAATAAATATTACACAAGTATTTGACAATATAATCTTGAAAGAAAAAGTCGAGCCCCGGAACTATTATGAAAAAGCAGTGCATTGTTTAGAATACGTAAGGTATCTGTGAAAGCTCAGGGCATACGGCGGAAGAGGTATATGGCGAATCTAATGATGAATAGATTGGCGTCTGTCCAGCCTCGTTTGAAGATAACCAAAATCCATCGATCATTATTACTAATTAAGGCTTTTTAGAATTAATAAACAGTAAATAATAAAAATCAGATATCATCAGTGCATAAGACAAATTATCTTTTATTTCGTATATAAGAAAATTGAATTTATAATGAAATTGTTTTTTAATACTGTATGAATAAAGAAATTGCGTTCAATGCTTTTCAAAATAAATAAAAAATATATTAATTATAAAAAAATTTTTAACTCATATACAGTATATTCATTATTAAGAAATCGTGGGTTTATCACGTGATTGCGATAAATAGATGGAATGGCTTATTATTATTAGTTTTCGTTCTTTCGAAACAAAGTCAACCACAAAAAAATAATTTTTAATTCTTTTTTTTTTGCGCCTCGTTTCATAAACAAACACCCTGGGCTTTTCTCGCTTCAAATTCTCCGTTTTTCATCTTATTATTCCTGTGTAAATATACGCTAAGAAAAAACAAATGCAAAATATTCAAAGCGCTAAAAAATGAGTTCTTACAAGCCATTACTGATTGCTATAAAAACCCTTGCCCTTTCCGTATCTTTCACTCCATCAACTACTGATACAAATCAAAAAAATCAATAGCACAAAATGAAATTCTCTTCAATTGCCGTTGTCCTAGCTTTATTGGCATCGACCACCTTGGCCGGTAAATTTTTATTATTTTCACAATTCTTAAAAAATTTTTTTAGACTGCAACGAACCATAATCTGTTGTTTTTTTATGAACATGGTTAATAGATCCTTCTGCCAACCAAGAGAAGCGAGATGCCACCCCATACTATTACTACAAGCGAGAAGCCAACGAACAGAAACGTGATGCCGATGCCACTCCTTACTACTACTACAAGCGAGAAGCCAACGAACAGAAACGTGATGCCGAACCATACTACTATTACAAGCGAGAAGCCAACGAACAGAAACGTGATGCCGATGCCACTCCTTACTACTACTACAAGCGTGAAGCCAACGAAGAGAAACGTGATGCCGATGCCACTCCTTACTACTACTACAAGCGAGAAGCCAACGAACAGAAACGTGATGCCGATGCCACTCCTTACTACTACTACAAGCGAGAAGCCCAAGCAGAGAAACGTGATGCCGAAGCCACTCCCTACTACTACTATAAACGTGATGCCGAAGCCACTCCTTACTACTACTACAAACGTGATGCCGAAGCCACTCCTTACTACTACTACAAACG